TCGCCCACCTGGGATCTTCAGGGGTGGGAGAGGGGCATCAGGAGCACCACAGAGGCCCTGGGCCGCGGGTACTACTACAGTGCAGGGACAAGCTGCAATAGGAAATGGAGAAATGCATGGACATAAGAAAAATACTTAAGGTTCCTTTAATAGAAGTGCTTCATTTCAAAGCATCCTATTCAAGAATGATTCATCATCTACTGTTTAAAATAAATTGTCATTGTTTAAGAACTTTAACGATACAAAGAAATATAAATAATAAACTCAAACCGTGAGTTGATCTTTTTGTCTTTAATCCAAAACAATATTGAATTATAGTAAACATCTTAAACATAACAGTGATATTTTTGTCATTACGTTGACGAAATGCAGTTTAGAACCACAAAATGTTTCCAAAAACTCAAAAATTAGGCAAATGCAATTCAAGTCTTTAATAGTTACTATTTCCAGACTTAAGGAGAAACACCTCCTTCAAAAGGCATAAATCAAATGAGTAGTTGTTGGCGAACTGATTCATTTTAAGCTCGCAGATAAGTAGCTCTCTAGCGCCCTCTACTGCAGGTAAAAAAATATATATATATTTAATTGACTACCGTATAAAGATGAATAAATAAAAACTCACATTATAAAATCCAAATGGAGAAGAAAAAAATGTAAAGATGGTTAAAAGAATCGCATACCTATAAATAACCCCTGACACATTTCAAGTGAGCATTTGAGAAATGGTGTACTGAGATCAGCACTACTGTAAATTTTGCCACAAAAGTAGAAGAATCTAACTAACTTTATTTTTTCGTCACAATATGAAGGGCATCGTGTTCTGGCAACGTTTCCCCTTCCTTTCACGTTAAAATGAAACTATTATGCAACAATAATTAAAGCTATTCTTTTTTTCCTGAGCCAACTGTCCCTATACCTAACCTGATAGTCACAATGTTCTCCAGAGTTCAGTCAGAGCTTATGTCCCCACGGGCCGTTTAAGCAAACATTTGACTCAGCTTCTGACCACTGTGAGGGTACTGACTGCCAACTACGTCATTTTATATAATTAATACATTAATAATTATCTGTTTGTTCCAGTTTGAATTTATTATATTATTATCAAAGATTTTATCGCATAGGAAAAATACAACAGAGAAATGCATAACTTAATAAATTATTCAACTGTGGCTAAACCGTTAGCTTGTTAGCCCATATTGCTATCGTGACGCAACACAGTATCAGCAGTTACTGTCAAAGACCGAAGAAGTTGACTGTCGTTAAACATACATTTTAGTTTTTATTTATAACGTTTTGAAAACTTCTAAATAAAAAAAGGAGCTCCCACGCAAATTTATATTTTAATAAACATTACGTTTTCAGGTATCATATTGTTATATGTCGCTACTTCCGTTTTTATGTTCTTGCTAGCTCTACCTCTTAGCCACCCCTCCCCCACAGCACCGTTAGCACAGCTACGTGAGCAACGTTTTCATCCTTTACTTACTTCTCAATCATGTCACAGATACCGCTACTTAAATTCGCCATGGTAGTACAGGGCTGAGGTTTTCCTTCTTTCTCGCGAGCAAAGCAATGACTGTTTAGGATCCGCTGGAGGTTGGATTTTACCATCCGGCCTCGGGTAGAGACACGACTGGCTGACTTCTCTCTGCTATGCTAGGCAGGGTAATGACCGTCTTGTGGGTTGGCAGCAGTTTTTACGGAAGCCGAGACGCTGAAAAGTCAAATGAACGTTATGTGGCAATATTACTTCCTTTCAACATAAAAGTCTTTCCAAGATGTTTGATGTTTGTTTTTATTCCCAACGTGATGACTTAAGAACTTAATAAGACAGAAAAAATTGTATTGATTTTGTTATTGTGTCATGATTTTGATTACTCTCTACTATGACTATGACTATGAACATTTTCAATTTAAATGCAAAAATATTATTTAAATAATTTTTCTTATCTTGCACCAGCATTAAACATACTTTATATACTCATGTGAAAACCGACTAACGTCATACATAATGTTAATTGTCCGAAAAATAATGATAAAAAGTGATTAAAATATGTAGGTATTCAATTACAAAGCACATATCGACTTTGTTTCTTGTTTTTTATTTTTTTTATTTTTGGAACCAGAAACCTTTATTTTGAAAGAGACAGCAGAAAACGCAGAGCAACCGTTAACTTTATAAAAACACTAATTAGCTAGCTAAAGCTAACAGTAAAGTAGGAAAGGAAACTACTTTACGTGGCTTTTTCATAGAAAAATAAAAGTCTGCGCCCCAACTGTTGACTAAAGCTCTTAAGATACACCTAGAACTGCAATTGTTGCTGTCACAATATGTTGTTGTCGCATTAATCTGGTGTGTTTACATTTTTTTGGTCAGCTTTGTAAGTGGTTGCAGCTGTTGTGTTAACTAGATACTGAAAAATAAATACAAATCACAATTCCCTTCTGTTTAATATTTCAAATTTATTTTCGTACCTAGATGGTCAAAAAAGAGAAAAAAAGGCCCATTTAATTTGGCTTTGGGTTTTAAATATGTGAAAATATAATAAATCCCACAGCATAACATTCTACCACCATGCTTTACCAAATTAGTTAATGATACTCTGAAGTGGCGCCTAGTGGTTAGGGCATTGAGCTGGAATCCAGAGGTTCTGAGTCCCTGAGCAAAGACCCTTAACCCCATACTACTCCCTGGGCGCCGCACCATGGCAGTCCACTGCTCCCCAAGGGGATGGGTTAAATGCAGAGTTCATTTAGTAGCTCTGTACTTGTGACAGTGGAAGGACAATAAAACGCTGGGAAAAAAACAAAAAACTCTTGTTGATTGTTGAGTTGAGTTTAGAGCATGTCGTATTTTACACACATTCTGATAATCGTACAGGTGCATTTGGGTAACCTATTCTGTTTCTTTGTTTTTACTTTTTGTAAGCTCTGCCATGGTGCCAGGCTACCTTTTTCATTTACCATTTTCACCATGACTGCTGTTTAGAAGAGGTAACAGTCTGTGGGTAGACAGACACATGAACGAAACCATACAGCACTACACGTTCTTACAGCCTGCTGTCAGAAAAAAAGAATTTTTTATTTTTTCATTTTTTATATCACAGCAACAAGCTTTGTTTTTAGGGGGCATTTAACCATTAATAGGGCACTCAGTGAAATACTTTAAATATCTAAATTTCAATCAAAGAGTGCACTGCAAATAACTGAAATCTAAGTATGTCAATTTTTCTTAAAATGAGTGCATTTTTCTTTAATTGAGCAGGTAAGTGACACACTTTGTCAATGGAAAAACAAAAAAAATACATTTAAAATAAGGAAAAGAATGCACTCTCCTATTTCAAGTGCATAATATCAAATAATCTAATTTTAAGGATAAAAATAGTCCTAATTTACGTAATCAAATTAAGGGTAAATACACTTATCTTAAGACATTTTCACTAAGATCTTAGAGGTCCAACTTAGATTTTTTTGTAGCGTGTTATTGGAATCCAGGACAAGACATTATTACCTTTGTAACATTTAAAAAATTTGGATATTTTGATGGCAAAAATGAATGTCAATGTAGTAACAAGAAACGCCAACTTGACCGACTATATTAAGAAAAATAACAAAAGTGCTTCTATAAGAAATTCATGAAAAACACTCTGAGAGTGAAAGAACCACATTTATTTTTAGGTACATCACAACCTTAGAGGCTTATAAACCTTTTAACTTTACTTTTTAAATTTTTCAATTAGCTTTTCGGGGCTCCATTTGTAAGGGGTATGCAAGTGATCAAAAATGGTAACTTGCTGTATAAAGGGTTAATGTAATAGTCGAGCTTGAAGTTGCTTACAAATATGACATCTAAGAAAAGTTTTTTGTTGTTTTATTGTTTTAAATAAATATCTGAAAATGGGATTAATGTTTTATTCATATTTTCTGTCTTTACATTAAGACCCTTGAGTTATACTGTTTAGGCCTCAGATGTTTAAATACAGAACACTTAGACAACAAACACTATCAGAAAGGACCAAGGAAGACATCAGAAAGGTCAGGATTACATCAGATTTTAGAAAAAAAATACCATCATTTTAAAAAAAACTTGCAAAACTATAAACTAACCAAGAGGTAAGAAATAAAAGTACAGCATTAATCAGAGAAGCAGCCAACAGGCCCATTGTAAATCATAAAGCTGCAAAGACCCAAAGGAAGTGTATGTTGAGAAAAAGTCACAGGGGATTTTGTAATTTGCTAAGAACCACATATATTCCAGCAGCCATAAGCGTAGCAACACCTGAGAGCAAAAAAACAAAAAATGACAAGACACCATTCCAATTATTAAACATGGTAGTGGCAGCATCATGACTGTGGTCCGATTGAGGTTGAAACTATGGATGTGGCCAAACTCAGGACAATGCTGCAAAGGACTTGATGACACTTCAGACAGGGCAGTGACCTAAAATACAACCACAGCTCCAATAGTTTGGGTAAAGCAGGTAATACTGTGATGCATCTTTTAGTAATTTGTAATTCAGCTGTAAGTCAACAAAGTTTGTAATCAAAAATATTGACCACAACCTACTACTAAATGTAATATAAAGAAAAAATCAATGTTTATAACCAGATGCAAGGATTTTTAATTATTTGTATTTCAATAAGTTATCTGTCATTGTAACACATTATAACTGAAACTTCACACGGAAATATTCCCTCTTCTTTACCTTCATCCGCATTCATACAATACAGCACCCTCCCTCTCCGTTTGATTTGTCCCACACTGCTACCCGTCGGTCGTCTGAGAGAAATCGCTTCTGTGCGCTGCCGATGTACAGCAGGCTGCGATAAAAATGGAAAGCGACACGGCCGTCCGGAGGATAAAAGCCTCCGGGGCTCCGCGTTACGCAGCGCTGGATGGACAAGCAGCCCGGTGCGAGGATAACGGCTGCAGCGGCGAGCCGAAGAGGAAGCCCGAAGTGCGGCTGCTGCTGCTGCAGGAAGGGCTGGCGGCTGCCCTGCTCTCCGGGTTTGTTTTGCTGCTGTGGGGAGTCGTTCATCTCTCGCTCCAGCAGCTTGTCATCGGGGAGCCGAGCGGAGACTTCAACGCAGGAAGAGCGAGGTGTGTTTGCTGCTTCTTTAGGATCACATTCATATATAATGAGGCGAATCTTTATTTCTGTTCGGGTTAAAGACTCACCTTCAAAAAAAAAAAAAAAAAAAAAAAAAAAGCTGTTTTATTCTCTTCCGGGCTCACCTTTACCTGCAGGCTGCAGAGGAGATAACAGGTGTTCACGAGTTTTATTGATTTCATCTGTGGTGGAATAATTACAAAAAAAGAAACTTGATTTCCATTTGTCCAGTTTGCCCAAAAAAATATTTTATTTTATCTGTTTTCCTTGTAGAACTTTGAGGTGTCAAATCAAACATATATTTATATTAAAATTATTGTTTTATTATTATCAGCATTATGTCAATATTATAATTTAGATTATAATGTCTCAATTAGAAATACTCATATATTTTTTTTCTTTCAACATATATATATATATATATATATATATATATATATATATATATATATATATATATATATGCATATTTGGGTGTGTTTGTGTGTATGTATAGGATAGGAAGCTACCTAGTAAAGGCTTTATAAAGGCATTCTAAAGTAACCTGTTTTGTAAATAGTTCTTACCTGACTGTTTTTAAAAGTCACTATAAATACAGGTGTTTTGTGAAGGTCTTTTGGAGAAAGCAAGCAAAACTTAGACTTCCTAGATATGGCTTTCCATCCTAACTGAGCTATACATCAATGATTACGTTGAAAAACAGCTGAGAAGATCATAATAACTCTGGAGGAGCCATCCAAAGGACTTTTTTTACTCACACAGTCTGGAAACTGTATTCCTGATGGGAGAAAGGCTAGAAAAACAAAAAGACAAGTATGTGAAGAGTACTGCAGTCTTTTCAGTTTGAATGTCATCACAACCCTTATAGGAGCCATTGGAAATATGGGCAAAGGTTATGGAGGAAAGGAACATCATGCTGGACTCGCTTTCCTGTTTGAAAAATATGTCAAGCATCTTACTTATTAAAAGCAGCTGCAACATTTTTCAGATTAAAGGATCATTTTTCCTCGCTGTGCATTTTAGCCCCTATATAGAGGAGGAGGAGGGGGGGTGTATGGATTATGGTGCAAAATCTGAGGTCAGCACAACTGGGGGTTGAGCTCTTACAAAGTGCTGGGCAGTAGGATTTTCTATCATTTAGCCGCTTGCAGCACAAATTAGTGCTGCATGTGACATGATTTAGAGCTAAGAGCTTCTTTTGTCTGCAATCTGGAAATCCAGATAGAAGCGAGAGGTTTAACTCAGACCATTAAAAAGACTGCTGGGTAAATGCAGCAACTGACACTTCACCTGCTGACAGCGTGTTTTTAGAAGAAAAAGGCAAAGGATAGTCTTTCACTTCCCATGGTTTCAGGACAGATATTTATTTGCAGGTGATCAGCAAGTGAACTTTATAGTAGGAGAGAGGATTTGTGCTCATGTGGGCTTTGTGGACAGCATTAGAAAGTTTAGTTAAAAAAAATAATTAAATAAAACTTAGTTTGTAAGGCTCTAACTGTTGCTATAAGCTCCAAAATACCAGGTTTATTTCTCCTTGTCATCATGATTATGTTTGCATAAATTCCTGTTTTGCTTC